TTACCGCTTGATAGGTACAGGAGCCGACGGGCAGTAGTGGAATAACCCATCGAAGCAGGCAGGTGGCCTGGCGGGGACAGGCAAATTTCAAAGGGTCGTGAATACAGGAACGGACGACAGGTGCATCGCTGAAGATGCGATTGACTTACAAAACACAAACCAGACATTAATTCAACAAAACTTAACTCCTGATTGTTAATAGTGTTGCGGATGACTTCCCTATGTGCTTTTCACATCAAAAGTGGCGTAAATCGCATGATGGATTTTGATGACTGACATTAGAAGAAAGAACGAGCGCAAACAATGGACATAATTTTCGAAATATCACCCAGAAAATTAGGTTTTCTACAGACGGACAAGTCACCAAGCCCTAAGTGAGCTGCATATCGCTATAGTACCTTGGTGCGCGTACCCACAGCATCTGATAAGGCAATACTCTTAGTCGCCTTCAGTTGATCATTTTCTGACCGCAACATTTATGCTTGCCATCGTCGCGGGCTCAAAATTCGCTTCCAATGTTGTTGCTCCAGGATAAGGGGAGATGCGCGTTTGTGAGAGTGGTAGCTATCATTTGCTTTTTAATTGCTTACGATCGTATGATCACGTCATCATACAGTATATTAACATTTGATGGCAAATTACAATCCCCATTTTTGCCAACTCACTCGTGTAAATTAACTTTCCAGATCGACATGCAGGCATCCTGTCATATTTACCCCATGCAGTATTTGTGACACTCAGTGTCGTCAACCTGGCTTTTCTCAACTGAATGGGCAAACAAAGCACTGGCGCATGTGTTGACATCTAACAAAATGTGCCGCTCACTCCTTGCAGACAATAGTTTGTCGTTAGGGGATGGTTATGATATGTTATATATGGTTAGGATATGTTATATGTTATATGGTTAGGATATGGCGTTGACCTCCATTTTAACAACAATGATGGTGTTACACCGAAATGGCCGGGTAATATGGTAACAACATATTAGCTTATTTTAAGTGGATAAGTTGTGTTAAGTGGATGAGTTACCCTGGATGTTACAGAAATAGGGAATTTATTCAGAGCTAGCCATGCTTCAGACGGCATGTATATGTTTCAGAGGGGTGTGTACACGGGCAGAAGGCGCAACATTCCAAACTTGCGTGCAGCGGGTCGCGGGGAGGGGGCGGGAACAGCTAAGGCTGCACCTGTAAAGGGGGCGGGGGTGGTGAAAATCATTTTTGCGAAGGGCTTCACGTGTGTCCTCCACTGAATACCGGAAAACTGACCTGCGTGAATATGACCAGCGTGGGCACAGCCTGGAGACGACGACTACTGCGCATATTTTCAAAGAAGGACATCACGATTGACAATCGAGTAGAAATTCAACTCAAACCAAAGCCTCACAACCTGTACGGTCAAGGGTGTCCGTATAACCAACGGCAGGACATGTGTAGTCTAGTCTCTAGGCGTAGTCTCTCAATGCTCGAACGCAAACGGCGCGAATAACGCTCCACCCAAAAATCATATCAATTTCAAAACAATCTGCGCACACAATGTGCATCCCCAAGGTCCAAGGTTTCGAACGTAGCCAATCCAAAGCATGGCACAAAGTCATAGGCAAATCTGAATGTGCCACAGTCAAGTTCCCACCCCAGACACCCACACTCTAAACATCCGGTCGCCACAGTTGTAATAATATGGAGACAGCAGTTTACAATCACGTGAGACTGTCAATATTACCCTATCTCACCCTATCTTGTTTTTGTCAACTTGAAAATTATGGACGTATATTCTGCTACCTCACCCAGTACCTGAGAAAGCGCTTCCAGCCTTCCCGGCAAAATAATTGCAGCTTCGCACAAAGACAATGAAAACCACTGGGCGTGCCAAAACTGGGACTCCAGCAATGGCATCTGCATGCAAAGAAATATGGTACAATCAGATAATGGAGTGTATGAGGACAACCGATGTGACTAATTTTACACACGCATTAGACGTACACGAAAAATGTGATGGAAGGAAATGCACACAACATATATGTAGTACGATGTTTTGTTCATAAAGCAACGCGATATGGAGACACACAACGTGACCACGGGTGTGGTATTCTATTCAGTTGGGTGAGCATCACCCCTCCCCTTCAGCAATTTAGGGAAGAAAGTGGGGCAAATCTGGGGAGAAACCTGTTCGTTGACATATTTGGGAGGCAGTGTGGGTAATGTTTCACTATTCATCCCCCCCCCCCCCCCACACACACACACTTATTTTGTGAAACTATGCCTCTGAACGAGACTTCTCGCACTGCAACCCTTTCATCCGCTTCGCAAAGCCCCGCTCTGCGTGCCCTCTATTGATCACGGTCATACCTATGGCTTCGGCTTTCAGCCACCGGAGACAAAACTGCAAGCTGTTATTCTTGACGTCTCGAAGGGCGGTGGCGCGGTTGCCCGCTCGTTTGCTTTGGTCTCGCTGCCGATCCAGCAGTCGGGCAGGAACCGGTAGCTATGCGTGGGTGCGTGCACGTCCCCGAGCCGTACATCACAAGTGGAAACGGTGACTGGAACAGGCCGACAACGGTCGGCCGGTTCTCAGCGGTACAACCATCAGTGTCGTGCCTCGCAACTTAACGATTCATAATGGAATGCAGCTGATGCTTATTCATTGGCGGAATGTTATGTATTGAGGTACAAAGCTCCCATTGTTAAGATCAGTGATCCTCGATCTGGTTTCCCTGTCACCTGCATAGCTGAATACGCAGTGACGTCAACGTACGTATAGATGCGTCCACGGACTTCAGTCTCCAATATGAAACAGACCATTCCGACCCGCAGCTGGGTTAAAGGCACTAGACGATTTAAGCCAACACTAGACGAATGTACTCGCTCCCATACCCGTACGAAAAGGAACCGGAGTTCGCGTTTGAAGGAAGAGACATTTAAATTACTGATTTCCCCTGTCAGGTGTTTCGGGACGCATAACGGACACACCAAACAACAGAAAAGCAAGCCAAACAGCTGAGCCCAGAATTACCTGTTATCGACGAAAGAAACATCACTTCTTTGCCACAGGTTTCCTTTTGACGTCTTGAATAAGGAGCTGGCCGTGATAGTTTTGTACAGCTGATCATCCACGCTTCATCACCATAGCACGTCAACATGACGTACATGACGCATGCCTGAATCCCCAGAAGTACCCATCAGCGCCGTCTTAAAATTACTTGACCACACGGGACTATCACCCGACTTGGTCATGGGTTTTGCGGAGAACACAGCATTCCGTTTTGAGCTTATGAACAACGGCGGATCTGCCTCGCGCAATGCCGCACAGAAAACGCTTACGGGCAACATTAATGCAAAATGGGGCAACCTTCTTGCAGTTACACGAATTTGAAGAGACGAAGCTACTTTCTAGTCTAACCACCAGTCCATGTCTACGCGTTGAGACTGACTGAGAAAGTCTACCAATAGTGCTAGGTTGGGTCAGGTCGCTTGTTCAAACCCAGTCACCTCGCACTCCGTGAGTGTTGCAGGCCGCATCGCAGTCTGGTCGCACTGAGACTGTTGTGAATGGGCAAAACACAATAAGACGGCGCTGCCGCCAACCTTCTCTCAAACACGGAAGCGTCAGATAACCACCCTGAAGGAGCCCGGATTGTATTTAATTGCCAGCCTGCGTGAAGTTTGAACCCGACGTGATGTTGCGAAGCTTGTTACGCGTTCGAAAGTTCAACTGTGCGCAAAAGTGTCAGATACTGGAGTTCATGCAGCTGGCGCGGGGTGAGCTAGCTCAACTCAGGTCCTAAATCAAATGCATGAGACCTCACGTCGGCCGGGAATAACGCAAAAGGCAGAGTGCGGGATATTTTTGGATGCGCTGCATATTTATTTGCCCGCCACCACAAATGACTGATAGACAATAGCGAATGTACGGATGTCCAGGACGTTGAAATGCGCTGGCTGAAGACGGCATGGGATGCAAGGGGGCGTGGGAGTGTGGTCGGAACAATCCCAGTAAAATTGCTAACGTTACTAGATACATGCAGGCACATCTTATAGCTTTTGGGCACGATTTGGTAACCCACCGCTGCGATTATATACATTCAAATGCATATATATGCATGTATATATACACACACACACACACACACACATATATATATGGGTGTATATATATATATATATATATATATATATATATATATGTGTGTGTGTGTGTGTGTGTGTGTGTGTGTGTGTGCGTGCGTGCGTGCGTGCGTGCGTGCGTGCGTGCGTGCGTGGTGCGTGCGTGCGTGCGTGCGTGCGTGCGGTGCGGTGTGCGTGCGTGCGTGCGTGCGTGCGTGCGTGCGTGCGTGCGTGCGTGCGTGCGTGCGTGCTGTGTGTGTGTGTGTGTGTGTGTGTGTGTGTGTGTATAAATCCATGTATGCCATGCAATGTAATGCATACAATGCAGTACATGCAACGCAATACGTGCAATGCATGTAATGCAGTTACGTATAACACATATGATATGGCAACATGGACCTACACAACCCTAATGTGGGGACAGCGAAATGACCGCTGCTGTCGATGCACTCCTAACCCCAGATAACAAACTAGATATATGCGAGGTCCATGTGACGTCCCCGTCAAATATTCCACGAGTTTGCAATCACAATTGGACTTCATGCTGCACGGCTCCGGGACCGAATGACCGATGCCAGGCCTTGTCGATTTAGACGGTATGCTAGTCCTTGGATGTTTTACCGCAGTTAAACTCTGCGCCATTCACGCGCGGGCCGGGAGTCAAGAAAAGCCAAATATAGTCCAAGGGCATTGATCAGGTCGCGAAAGGGTGCATTCTCTCCGATACCTGAATTAGGGTATCGTCTGCGTTCTGGATCATGTACGCACCACCGGCATAAAAGCCACGACCATCAGCAAAAATCCGGTGAACGGGTGCCCCACGGGAGGTCCCAGGAGCTGGGCCCTTCCCTCGTCCCTCGTGTGCCGTCTTTCCTTTCCGCAACCAACAGGCGGTACCAATTTCAGTGTAAATATATTGGTGACCGGCAGTAGCGCTGCTTGCAGACCATTGGTGGCCGTCCGCCCGCGCCAGGATTTGGCGCGGGTTACGAGCCGTGCCCGCGCCAGGAGGTGGCGCGGGTCACGAGCCGCGCCAGCGCCAGACAGTGGCGCGAGTCACGAGCCGCGCCAGCACCCGGAGGGCGCGGATCAAGAGCTGCGTAGCGCCAGGGGGTCGCGCGGGTCACGAGCCGCGCCAGCGCCCAGCAGACCGCGTGCGCCCAAGCTGAAGCGAGCCGGACGCTCGCCAACAAAATGACCGAAGCGAAGATTACCGACAAGAAGCGCAGGTTGTCCGTAGCACACGTACATAAATAACGACGTGCAAATCGCGTATCACAAAATAGACGGCACACGCTCGCCAACAGACCGATTATAAATGTAAATCAGCTCATTGACATTTCACAGTGGCCCACTTGCCGATACAAAGGACATCACTGCATATAACCTGCACGATTACGCTGATAACGTCAGTTAAGATAACGCCGTTCCCCTAGGCTGGCGGCCGTCGCCGCGGGTCCCCTCTGGCCCCAATTCTGACTGGGCGCCGGGCCGGTCCTATACGCCACGGACCCGGACGCCCCGGTCCGGCCGCGCCCCGACCCCGAGACGTTCTGGCGCCGACTCCGTGGCGCCGCGCGAGCACCTGCTCGGCATCTGTGTTTGTGACGGGGCACTGCGGGCCGGCTCGGCCGGTGTTCACCGCGGCGAGACCGACGCCGCTGCCCGTAGCTGAGGTAATGCGCCCGACGCCCCGGCAGCGGCGGCCGTCCCGTGGCGTCATCAGATGTTCTCGTACGTCTGCAACGACTCCTCCAGCTTGTCTGCGATCTGTCGGGAAGCCCGGTTGTTAGAAGTGGAGTTGGACAATTGAGTACAAGCCGACGCAGAACCCTGTCCAAATGCCTGCGCGGGTCGGGCCCTACACCGTTTCCACGCCATATGTCTGAGCAAGCTACCAACAGGCTGAACAAACTCCAACTGAGTCATCAGACTACACACTCTCGAGCATTGCACTGTGAACTTAATTGTGCAACTAAAACTCACCATCATTAAAATACAGTTGAATCAGCACAGACGTTGTAACCCGTGAAGTTAGAGGACTTATCTACCTCAATCCAATCGTGCGTCAGCTCTGCCTGCCCTAAAAAAGATAGGCTGTGCCCGTGGGCCGTGTCGGAGCGAGTGTGTGGGTAATTCCAGCAGTTTACTCCGCCGGCCAGAAAATTCAGAAGACTCATACCGCTTGAGCGCCACCACCGGTGAGGCCGTGCGTTTTGGTTGAGACACTCGCCCATCCGGGCAGATCCCTCTGACCGGGACGCGGACATTCACACCAAGTCAGAGCAGGCTGGCTCGTCAGCTTTTGGTTCAACGTCCGACTGACGGCGAGAGCCGCGACTGTCGGCATGTGGTGGACAGCGGACATTCACACCAAGTCAGAGCAGACTGGCTCGTCAGCCTCTGGTTCAACGCCCGACTGACGGCGAGAGCCGCGACTGTCGGCGTGTGGTGGACAGCGGACATTCACACCAAGTCAGAGCAGGCTGGCTCGTCAGCTTTTGGTTCAACGTCCAACTAACGGCGAGAGCCGCGACTGTCGGCGTGTGGTGGACAGCGGACATTCACACCAAGTCAGAGCAGGCTGGCTCGTCAGCCTCTGGTTCAACGTCCGACTGACGGCGAGAGCCGCGACTGTCGGCGTGTGGTCGACAGCGGACATTCACACCAACTCAGAGCAAGCCGGCTCGTCAGCTTTTGGTTCAATGTCCGACTGACGGCAAGAGCCGCGACTGTCGGCGTGTGGTGGACAGCGCTCACCGCTGGTTACGCTGTTACCGTCACCGTCAGTCCAGCGCGACCGGCACGGCCGCAGTCACAACGGTCGACGTCACAGTCAAAACCAGACCCCTTCGTCTGCTGGAAATCGCCCACAGCTGCCTGTAAACCAAACCTGCCACACCGCTCACGCGTCCGAACAATCGCCTCTTGTTTTCTCTCGCTCTGTTCACTCAGCCACCTGTAATGCGGTCTTCGGCCGATTAGGCAGCCGAGCACGTTGTAACAGCCGCCCGCCGTCCACCTGTGCACAGAAGTCCGCACCGTAGACCCTGTTCACCTGTCCGTAGACCACCGCTCACCTGCCGGTAGAAGGCCGACTGCTCCGGAGACCGCTGCTCACCTGCCCGTAGAAGGCCGTAAAGACCACTGCTCACCTGCCCGTAGAAGGGACAGCACCGAAGACCCCTGCTAACCTGCCCGTAGAAGATCGTAAAGACCACTGCTCACCTGCCGGTAGAAGACCGACAGCACGGACACCCCTGCTCACCTGCCGGTAGAAGGCCACCTGGTTGCGCAGGAAGCCGCGCATGGCCTCGGTGAAGTCGGCGGCGCGCTCCTTCTGGAAGTGGCTCATCTCGGCCATGAGCGCGTACGAGACGACGTCGGTGCGCCGACACACCTGTTGTACCTCGTCCTCACTCAGCTTGCCCTCCTGGCCGTACCGGCAGTACTCCTTGCGCTTCTGCATGGCACCCTGCGCGGCACGGGTCAGCCGGTTACGACCGGGCACAGAGGGTGGCAAACAATTTGAAGCCCGTTCGCGCCGTTCAGTAGGTTTTCGCATGTGCCAATGGCTAAATGTAGCAGCATTGCGTGCAAAATGCTTGTAGTCTGGGATCTTTCATTGCATTAGCTCATATCACCGGCTAAACTTATACGTGCCGGTTTTCGAACAGGCAGTCCGTTGGCATGCTGCTAGAAAGCAGTGGAAAGCAATCACACGACAGCATTGTGCACGGACGACCCCCGGCGCTCACTCGCCACAACACCGCACACCCGTACTGTGCATGGCAAACACGTCAGGCAAACCGGTGATGCACTGCACAGTGCACACGGCGCCCGAGGCTAACCTTATGCATGTTGAACATGTCGGGGAAACTGGTGAGCATGCCGCGGTACTCGTGCAGCAGGTCGTTGAAGCGCTCCCAGTCGTAGCGCGGCTGCTCCTCGTAGAGCTGGCCGACCTCCTGGTACACGGCCGCCGTGTGGCCCACCGCCTGCGTCAGCGCCGGCGAGTCTGGCGAGAGGTCACAGCGTTCAGGGGGCAGGTCACAGGGGTCACACAAGCCGTGCGTCGCACTGCCAACGCCAGCGACGAGTTCGGCGGGAGGCGCGGAAATCGGAAACGTCGAGAGGTCACAGGGGTCAGTCAGGTTGGAAAGACCACAGAGCCTTGGTTGGTTTTGTCTTAGTCTGGCCTGATGTGCGCCAAGCGCCACTAGCGCCACTCGGTGGGCGTGGCGGCTAGCGCCGAGTGTCAGAGGCAGGCATCTATCCGCGCGCGCACGCGACACACCTCCGCCGGCAGAGACGTAACATACGTTGAAACCGAACAAGTCTCAGCACCATTGAAAATCTTGCGGCTACATGGGAGCACCCACCTAGGGTGGACGAGTCTACCGCAAGGTCAAAATAGGGGTCAGGATGGGACACACTGCCATAAAGACAGTTATAACTGTGATCACAGCTGGTCAGGAAAGTTCACCACACGGAGAGAGCATAAAACAGCTCACGGCATTTGGTGTTCCAACTGTGACACAGGTTCCTCCCGCCGCGTGTCAGCACACACCACAAAGGCGTGTAAGGAATTCGTGGAATGACCGACAGCTGATGACTTCGCCAAAGTGTTGCCGAACGTAACCCACAAGCAAAGCCATGCCGACAATCTGAAACTTCGTTACATGGCTGTTTAGCAGGACACGCAACATCAACGTTGCATTATGGACAAGCAATGCGATGAGAAAATGGCCCCGTCCCAGTGCTGCAAGGGTAAGGGTGCACCGTAACACAGACAACGCGACGGGAAAATGGCCCTCCTTCAGCGCTGCCAGAGCAAACCAGGACCGCACCCCGACCCACAAGACAGGAGCACTCCGGTGACCGGCTAACGAGATGGGAACACAGATCATCAGGTGGATGGGCGATGATAAGACATTCTTTAACCCATAGCTTTGTTTTTGGCTTTTGTGTGATGCTTATCCATGGCATGATTGAACTCTCCCTTCACAAAATCTACTGTGTAATTTGCATGTCACGAATAAGTCGAATGCATAACATAAATACTACATTCACTGGAATGTACCAAAAATTTGACAGTGGCGAAGTGCACGGACATGGACCGCTGCTCCCATGTACAACATTTACATGTCCAATGCCTCGGTTTTTGGTGAGCCCTTTGAACTTGACCAGATGCAATCTACCCCCCGAGGAAAGCGAGCTGATGACAGCATAAATGCATCGAGCAATAAAGTAAGGCACGCATTTCTAAAACCTTTTTATGGACTGTCCGAAATAGAAATTGATCCTAGTGCGGGCTTTGAGACGCACTTGCAGCTTTCAGTTGGGCAGATTGCCTATTTCCTTGCTATCTGGGAAATTCTGGAACGCGTTCACAATATCCTATACACCCGCATGCAACCGCTGTCTTATTTGCAAAGATACAAAGTGCATGCCTACAGTGTATGGGGAACCCTAACCAAATATCACACACAGACTGCATGTGCGACGTAACTTAATAAGGATCAACCGCTGGTTCTCTTATCGCTTTGGTAATCACTGAAGCCTTCGATTTGGGAGTTTGGTTCGATTTGAGAGCGGCGATTTGGGAGTTTGTGTTCTCATTTCCCAAAAGGCAAAACCTTCTCTCTACACTGAATGTGATGCATTCGAACTAACATTGCACGAAACACCACCACCAACGTTTACATATGGTCTGAATTGCTAACTTTCTGAGTTTACTGAGTTTCTAAGGCACTTATACTTAGAGACTTAGCACCTTTTGAGCAGCTGGTTGTGTTTGCCAAGCTACACAATCAGAAGCGTGCTGGAGGATTGTTCGGTTAGGTTCGACTCACAGGCCTGCATATCGCTGCCGAAGGCGGCCGCCAGCGCTTTGAACCCATGCGAGATCTTCTGGAACTCGCGCTTGTACGGGCCCTGGTGCTTCTTGATCTGATCTACCGAGATCGTCTGCAGCGACTTGACGGACGCGTCCATGTTCTGGCTGAACTTGGAGAAGTTATCGATCTCCGTCTCTCTGGTGGCGTGCGGGAGGGGGGGGGGGGGGGGGGGTACAGTTACACCGCGTGACGTGGACAGTACTCGCAGGCGGCGGAGGGGCAGCCTGACCGAACCTGGCCACGGCGTCCGTTCCTGATCAGGCTGCACAGGGAGGGTACATAGCTGTATGCGTGCCGTCTCCGCCACGGAATTCAGCTGACCACTTCTGGTTTTCTAAAGGCTTGGTTCATCACCGGGAAGGGGGGAGTACTGTCCGGGACCATTTCTTTATTGGCAGACAAATGCTGGCAATGGTCAGGGTATCTGCGGACGCTTTCCAAAAAAAAATATCTCCGAGAAAATCTAGACATCTTTCGAGATCGTAATCTATCCTTTGTTCAAATGACACGCCCTTAAATCCGTCTCACTCCTTTTGCTTGGACAGGACATTCAAAGTGTGCCGGCAGGGAACACACGTCAACGCAACATGCCTACAGTGCTTGTCGACCCTTACGGAATCCGCCGAGGCATACCCATATCAGTGCCAGCGACAGCCGTATCCCGGGCCCCTTGAGCGGCGGACTCACATCTGACCCTGCGCCAGCGGCTTGTCGGGAACCTTGAGCGCCATGAAGAAGTTGGCCCCGACCAGTTCGTCCTTCTCTGCGCGCCGCTTGCCCGTCTTCCAGAGCTTCTCGTCGGTGCAGGTGAGGAAGTGGTTCCACACCTGCGTCGGACGGAGCCAGGGCGTTACGACCGGGTCAACGTGCGCCTCTGTCTGTCATTGGGGCTTTACGATGCACTCAGCTGCTGAGGCTATATGGCGTCGCCTGCCTCTCACCCTGGCAGGAAGGGCGGGCACCGCGGGGAATCAAACCCCGTACCTCTGGTTTCCCAGACGCGCAGTGTAATCACTACGCTAAACGTGCGCCTCTGCGTGCGTGGACCCTCTGCCGAGGGTCCACGACAGTAGTGAACACGGTCAATAACACATGGCGGCCGACAGAGGCCACGTACGCCTCCAGAAGACGGAGAGTTGCGACTTCTCATGCGCCACATTTACCTACGAACGCCTCCTCAAAATCCGCATGTAGGCGACAGGGCCGCCGAGCTAGCGCATACCAAACCACTACAACATGCCAATATCAACATCACCAGCGGAACCAACGTTGACAACACAATCCAAGCCCACCCGTCGCTCTTACCCCAGCGTCACCCGCCACCCCTGCCGGCGGCAGCGCACGTTCTCACCTCGCAGCGGCTCAACACCGGGTGTCGGCATATCCGGTTCACCCACTGCTGCAGCATCATCATGCGGTGCTCGATGAAGTCCTCCTCGTAGCGGCCTGTCACCTGCTTGTCCGGCAGCGGCGCCACCGGGATCAGCGTGAACTTCTCCTCCAGACGACCGTGCAGCCAGTCGAAGTGCTTGTACCGGCGAGACACCTGGCGGGCGCGAGGCCAGTTCGCGATACCGATGGATGCCGTCAGGGGCGCCAGGGGCGGGGGAAGGAGGCCCATCGGTACTCGCCAGGGCAGAAGATGATGATGAACTGGGTATAGAAATGATTCAATTTGTTGGAACATGTCGCCGTCAATCAATAAGCGACATGTTTCCAATAAACGCAACAGCAATTAAGACTTGTTCTACGGAACAGAAGTGTTACCACCCAATTACCACCGTTACACCGAGAACGCACCAATGCCTCCTAGAAAGTTCTATTTCAGGTATGGAGGGTCTTCCAAAGTACATCGAGGAAAGCCCAGAGCAGGCCAGATCTCGAGTGATGGGGAGTGTCCTCCGATTCACCTGGCATGTGACAGGCCGGCCGTGCACAGATATCGAGTGATGGGAGTGTCCTCCGATTCACCTGGCATGTGACAGGCCGACCGTGTATAGATCTCGAGTGAAGGGGAGTGTCCTCCGATTCACCTGGCATGTGACAGGCTGACCGTGCATCGTCAGCAGCTCAACACATAGCTGATGTGGGGGCGGGAAAAGTCCGCACAGCGCATGGGGCGAGCGGTGGGGCGTGCCATCACATGGGTCTTCTCTCAGATTATTTATTGGACTGTGATTTTTTAAGGTGCTGCATGCCAAAAGTTGATTGACACAGAAATAAATGCACAATTATTGCGTTTTCATTGAGCCAGAGCGATCTCTTTCTCGTATGGCCAGGAGGGCCCATTTCGACCTCAGCGCCACCTATGCATCACGATTTTAGTGGTCGCCGACCGAATTACACTGTTTTGGAGTTGCTATGATGCATTCTATCGCAAAATCTGCAGTCTTCGTTTGTTTGGGTTGTATTTGTTTACAAAACCATTTGATTATGTCAGAGTATTAAAATGCTAACGACTACATGAATCTATGGAACACACCATTTAAAAACTTCGTGATATCACTGCCGCCAGAATTGTTTACACATCTATAAAACATACATCGGATAAGGATGAACGTTTGACATGTCATGAGTGATGCGAGGAATTGATCTGACGAAGAGTCTAATGTAGCGCCGATACTGAAGATGAAAATGTATTTAACGCGTATGCAGCCTTGCCATATTATGCTCGATCAGCCAGCCTCGCTACAGAATACGCAGCTGCCTGAGAGGCGATGTCATGAATCACGTCAGATCGCTGGCGCCAAGCAAGCGAGTCGTGTCGCGGAAACCGATGGATTCAAAGATCTTCCGTAATGTAGCTGCACAGGTCATCAAGCTCTGGGCTGAGGGTATTCCAACCCACGACCCGTGCTTCGTCTCCAAACATGTCAAAGTCGAGATGACGCTCGTAAGGTGAATAAAAATATCAAGGAATCCAGGAATACGAAGGGGGTGAAAAAAATGAACAACGCCCATTTTTCCAACCTTTTTGACATCGCCACGTATAAGTGCCGCTCTCGACAACTTGTAATCGCCCAGGACGCAACAAAATTCCGGCGGAAGAATGGGCATTTGTGAAGGACCCGCGAAGCCAGCGGAAGCTCCCTCTAGGAGCCGTCGAAATGGCAACAACTGCATTAAGGGAGGGGCGCCTTCAAAGAAGAGATTCCCGACAAAGCCATCATCAACGGCAGGCTGCTGATCCTGTACCTGGACTAAGCAACGTCGCTTGCAGCTGCGACAGGGACGACCATGCGAGCGTGGATGACAGCATGGGAGAGGCAGACGACTTCCTGTAGACTGCGGTCGACTCCGAGAGGAACGTGGACAACCTGGCTCGCACGACGCTGGCCGCGGATCGCTATAGGCGCCTCTAATCTGGCCGCCTCCGCAATCGTAAACGCCTTTCAGCAGGGCATTGGTTGTCCAAGCTCACAAGGAAGATCGCGCCTTGTCGACCCATTCGTGCTGCGCGTCTACGGGGGACGCAGGCCGACAGGAGCTTCTAGCTTCTTGATGTCGACTTCGGGGCTGAGGGGCAAGCGGACCTCATCGACTGGAGCTCAGTGGAGGTGACCGAACCACCGCTGCTGCCAGACCTCAGCAGTGAGGACGTGCAGGAGATCGTCAAGGTCCCAGATGCCCTGCCGCCATATTTGGTACACACCCAGGCCGTAGAGAGGGCCGCCAAGACGGTGATGGAAGCCTGCTCTCTGGTGCTGGACGAGGAGTCGAGGCACGGCCTTATCACAGCGAGGCTGAAACACCGGCACATCATCCCGGCTTCCAATTCGAAGCAGCGCCTACGCCCCTCTGGTGCATGGTACCACTACCGACCTTCGATACTATATACATTACAAGTTTCAAGTTCACCTTAACATATCCAAATAACTGCATTAACACTTATCAGTAGGCACACATTGTAACTCATGCCATTTAATTTATCCATCTCTCAAGAAAGTATATTAAGATTAATGTAAAAAAGCGTGATTGTCACCATTTTACACATTCTACAGACACCTCCACTTCTCTTGAGTCGCCACGTCTTTTTATCAGCGTGCAGATGCAGTCCTGCCTCAAGTCTTACTTCATTATAGTCCATGTGTTGGTTGTGTTCCAGCACACCAGTCTAAAAAGATAAGTTGTTCATCCTGCGGAGAGCTAACCCCGTACCTAAGCGTTTCCATGGACCCTCTTAGGTTCACAATGGCCAGGGTGACTGGGGCCTGCCGACGAGTGGGAGTGACCCGACTGTCCTGCTCCACCGCCACAACCTCGCCCGTTCTGTCAACAACTGGCTTCCGTCTGCCAATCCCGAACTCAGCTGAGCCGGCGCCAACGGTTGGCATACTCGAATAAATATGTGTTTTTGTCCTTGTAAGTCCGACTAAGAAGCGTCGAATACCGCCTTAGCATGCAATTTGTGTTATTTCCCATATTTAATCAACAGCCAACCCTGAAACATGCCTTCATGACCGTTTACAGCCCTTATCGGTCATAAAACATGATGGCTTCCCTCAAAAAGATGGCGATATAGGTGGCGCTAGTATCGATACGCCAGAAAAAAATAGCCCTTTAGTCAATCAGCCCTTGCCCAACCATCAATGATTTTTGCTCCTAGAGTTCTTCAGATTTGATGCTCTTTATCATCATCATCACTTCCTATCGTATTCCAATGCAATTTTCTGATTGACACACCCTAGTCTGCTCACTGAGCAAAGTACCGATCCAAGGACCGATGGACGTGGGCAGAGTACCGATCCACGGGCAGATGGGCGCGGGCAGAGTACCGATCCACAGCCAGATGGACGTCGGCAGAGTACCGATCCACGGGAGATGGGCGCGGGCAGAGTACCGATCCACAGGCAGATGGACGTGGGCAGAGTACCGATCCACGGGGAGATGGGCGTGGGCAGAGTACCGATCCGCGGACCGATGGACGTGGGCAGAGTACCGATCCGCGGACCGATGGACGTGGGCAGAGCACCGATCCACGGGCAGATGGGCGTGAGCAGAGCACCGATCCAAGGACCGATGGGCGCGGGCAGAGTAGCGATCCACGGGCAGATGGGCGCGGGCAGAGTACCCATCCACGGGCAGATGGACGTGGGCAGAGTACCGATCCACGGGCAGATCGGCGTGAGCAGAGCACCGATCCAAGGACCGATGGGCGCGGGCAGAGTATCGATCCACAGGCAGATGGGCGTGGGCAGAGTACCGATCCACAGGCAGATGGACGTGGGCAGAGTACCGATCCACGGACCGATGGGCGCGGGCAGAGTACCGATCCACAGGCAGATGGACGTGGGCAGAGTACCGATCCACGGACCGATGGGCGCGGGCAGAGTACCGATCCACAGGCAGATGGGCGTGGGGGCCTCGTCCCCCTCGGTTCCAGCAAACATCACCTCCACACTCACCGGCGGCGCTCTACAGTCATCAGTTCTTTTTTGGAAAGACGATGCCAAGCAACTGTCTTTCCGTGGTCATTCCGAAGTCCGAGATCATTTGAACTACCTAAGAGCTGCGATATCCTATCTGAGAAGTGTCTGCGTTTGAAGGCTGTGGCGGTGGCCGAGTACCCGACATCTCACCACCACTCCCGGCGCACCTGGATGTTGCTGAAGGACGGCACCAGCTGATAGGCGATGAAGCTCTTGAGGCCCTTCATTTTGCTCTCTTTCTTGGGCGACGTCACCGTACAGGTGTAGGGGGAGAAGTTGTCCCACTCATAGCCGTGCTCCGTTTCCTGGAACACCACAGAACACGCAGTGGAGGGGCTGTGCTCAGCGCCGGCTGTGCGGTGTGCTGACGCACAGAGCACAGCACGATACCTCTTACTCAGTGGACGCTGTACCGCCCTCTCATTGGCCAGCATACTTCACTGCGTAGACGCTGTACCGCTCTCTCATCGGCCAGCAGACGTTACTGAGTGAACGCTGTACTGTCCTCTCATCGGCCAGCATACATTTTAGCTGACGTCAGTGCTGACAACAATCTGGAAATAGAGCCTGGCGCAGCGCATAACCTAATCGCGCGTATCAAATCACACCATTGGTTCTGTGAACAGGACAGGGGAGCTGATGACTATTTCAAGGTGCTGGTCCGACGTTCATCATCACGAAAAATCTGAAGCCTGCAGTCATGATAGCAACAACACACACGTGGCGTGTTGAGCAAAATGGACGAGGCATCTCGTGATAGCGGCTCCTGAGGTGCTCACGGCCCGACACCACACATTTATTAGCCACAGCCTACACGACCGATGGCACACCACGGGCGGCAACCATACCATAGCATCCATCCAACGGGGCACTCCGCGCACTGTGGCCGACGTTGCAGGCGGTACGTACACCACCAGCCGGCCGGAGCGGCGCAAGCCGGTGTGATGCGAGGCTCACCACCAGCCTAGGGCGGGGCGAGCCGGTGTGATGCTACTCTCACCATCAGCCGGCCGGAGCGGGGCGAGCCGGTGTGATGCTACACTCACCACCAGCCGGCTGGAGCGGGGCGAGCCGGTGTGATGCTACACTCACCTCCAGCCGGTCGGAGCGGGGCGAGCCGGTGTGATGCTACACTCACCACCAGCCGGCCGGAGCGGTGCGAATCGGTGTAATGCGACACTCACCACCAGCCGGCCGGAGCGGCGCAAGCCGGTGTGATGCTGCACTTACCACCAGCCGGCCGGAGCGGGGCGAGCCGGTGTGATGCTACACTCACCACCAGCCGGCCGGAGCGGCGCGAGCTGGTGTGATGCTACACTCACCACCAGCCGGCCGGAGCGGTGCGAACCGGTGTAATGCGACACTCACCACCAGCCGGCCGGAGCGGCGCGAGCCGGTGTGATGCTGCACTTACCACCAGCCGGCCGGAGCGGCGCGAGCCGGTGTGATGCTGCACTTACCACCAGCCGGCCGGAGCGGGGCGAGCTGGTGTGATGCTACACTCACCACCAGCCGGCCGGAACGGGGCGAGCCGGTGTGATGCCAGACTCACCACAATGCTGATCAGATCGTTCTCCGAGACATGGATCTTCGAGACACCCAGTATGTAGTCCTCGCCGCCGGACTTGACGAAAGTCGAAAACCGGTTCAGGTTGCGCTTAACCGTCGCCTTGCCGTCGTTCCTCCCTGGTGACAAATAGTCTGCTTACACTTTGCGATGAATCCCAGTACATCTAAGCCGCACATCCTACGTTATTGCCTTAGAATGTTAAATCCTACGCAAAATCATCCATCCCATCACGTTTATCATGTCTGCTTATCCCCAAAGCCTCTGACCACTAGTCCCGCCCACGCGCCAGGGACCCAGAGCACTAGCTGTGCTGTAATACATCGTGCGGAGACGGCGCCGCCAGCGCTCTGTCACCTGCCATGCTGACGTCGCCGCTGCTGCCGCGGCTGGGCCTCAGTCGGCCCGCCTCGCCGCCGCCGGCAGGACCGGCCGCTTGCGTGTCGGCGTCGCTGTCGTCGTCCCAGTCATCGTCCCAGTCGTCATTTGCGACTGCTGGCGGACGTGCGGCGGCGGAGACGCCGGCGGTCGGCGGCGGCGGCATCTGCGCAACGGAGCCGGGTCAGGCTGGCTCAAGACCCTCGTCTGACCGACCTGGTGTCAAGCTGATCCTGGTCTGACTGACCTGGTGTCAATCTGACCCTGATGTGACTGACCTCGTGTCAATATGACCCTGATATCAATCTGACCCTGGTCTGACTGACCTGGTGTTAATTGGGTGTGGCGGGACGCAGTGATCTGCTCCTGGTCGGAGACGGAGGTATCACTAGGTCTCTCATAAGGTCCCGATTTAGCAAACGCTGGCTCTCAATCACCGAGGCATACAGGTGCCACGCTGCCCCCGATACGCTACGGTCCGTGTGTTCACACACTGCTTGTGTAGCAGACATCACCACCAGCAGTCCCCGTGCGTCGAACAAATCCAGCTCCGGCGAAATCGACCCGGACGCCGCCCAGGAACCCGACACCGTCCCCCCGCCCGGGGCCTCGGCGCGCCCACCTTCTGCTGATCGCTGCGGGTGTCGACGGCCGCCGCCTCGGCCCAGGGGTCCTGCCAGGAGTCGCGAGCGGGCGGCGTCGGCGCCGGCACCGCCCAGCCGGGCGCCACCGGCGGCGGAGGCGGCGCCGGCTGTGCGGCCGCCGCTGGAACGGACTGCAACAGAGCAGCAGTCGGCTGACGGTACACAACGGTGCCGGGCGTACACACCGCAGGCATAGACAGTGCGGCTTAATCGGGCTCACATCGACGCGAATATCCGGAAGCAATGGTCAAACAAACATCTCCGACGCAATCATCTTCTGGTAAGGTCTACCTCTGGTTGGTTTCTAGTCACATCCCGATGGGTTCGTATCATACGTCTCCGCGTTGACCTCGTCAGTGGAAGGTGGCAGGACGTATACAAGCCCGCTAAGATGGCGATAGTTTTTTAAATCAAATAATTAGTACACTATACTCAGGCAGGAGCGAGAGCGAGAGCGAGAGCGAGAGCGAGAGCGAGAGCGAGAGCGAGAGCGAGAGCGAGAGCGAGAGCGAGAGCGAGAGCGAGAGCGAGAGCGAGAGCGAGAGCGAGAGCGAGAGCGAGAGCGAGAGCGAGAGCGAGAGCGAGAGCGAGAGCGAGAGCGAGAGCGAGAGCGAGAGCGAGAGCGAGAGCGAGAGCGAGAGCGAGAGCGAGAGCGAGAGCGAGGGAGGGAGAGAGAGAGAGAGAGAGAGAGAGAGAGAGAGAGAGAGAGAGAGAGAGAGAGAGAGAGAGAGAGAGAGAGAGAGAGAGAGAGAGAAGAGAGAGAGAGAGATGAGAGATGAGTATGAAGGGGGAGGGGGGAGAGAGGAAGAGAGGAAGAGAGAAGAGGAGAGAGAGAGAGAGAGGAGAGAGAGAGAGATGAGAGAGGAGGAGAGCTAGAGAAGAGAGAGAGAGAGAGAGATGGAGAGGAGAGAGAGAGAGAGAGAGAGAGACGGCACAGTGGCACGCTCCCGACGGAAAATGCAACAGAAAAATGCCCACGTCATGACAAGTTATCTATGCAACCGTGTCCACTATCACTCATTCGTCAAATATACAACCATGAGAGCAGTACATTGCTGTTAAAAAGTTTGCAAGTTTGAGGTGAACAACTTTCCGAGAGGTACGCCGTGAAGCCGGGCTAGCCCTGCGGCAACCTCGACATAGGCCCCCGGGAAGAGACCGCACTGCTGCTGATCGAAGCTGGGCTGGCCCTGCGGCAACCTCGACATAGGCCTCCGGGAAGAGACCGCACTGCCGCTGATCGAAGCTGGGCTAGCCCTACGGCGCTCTCACCTCGACATAGGCCTCCGGGAAGAGACCGCACTGCTGCTGATCGTTGACGCCCTCCCACCAGCCCTCGCCCACGTCGGTGCGTGTGACGGTGAGCACCTCGCCCTCCCGCAGCCGGATCTCGCTCGTGTCCGGCTGAGGCTCGAAGTCGTACAGCACCCGCACCTGCAGCGGCGGGACGGCGAGGTAGGCAAAGCCGCGGCGCCGCCGGCCACGCTACTAGGCCCGGACACAAACACCGGCGGGCCCTACAGTCCGAAATCGGCAGGGGGGGGGGGGGGATTTCGGGGCTCCTTTACCACGCTGTTGGATATACGCAGACGTACGTTTAGTCGTCATATGGTCAAGGGCGACTGACCTGGGAGTCACCAACGATCAGCGATATCATGGCATGATGTATGCATCGGTGACAGGCGCGTGACTCACCTAGCTTACCTGGTGACTACTGAAGATAGATTAAAGCGCTGCGTACGTACATCAGCAGCATCCATCACAAAGGCAGCCCGTGTAAACTTCGGCCCACCTGCCATAGCATGCTCGATAACGATGCTCATGATGCACAAGAATATACCCTTAGCGTTGGTTTTAAAATGGTGCATACAGTGGTTTCTGGGAAGTGCTCTGCGATTTGTCATCCCGCCTGCGGCACACGACGAGAGCTTCGGGAACTAGAATAGCATTGGCGGGACATTTTGTGACAATATTTTTCAGTGCGGCCCTGTACATGGGCGCCCCCGACGAGTCATTTTTAATGATTTTATCAGCCGTATTTTAGGCTTCCACGCTATCTGCGTTGCTCTCGACGCTGCTTCTGTGACGACTGCTTGGCCTGAGCAGCAAAACACATCCTGTCTCCCCTCGACGCTGCTACTGAGACGGCTGCCTGGCTTGAGCCGCAAAACACATTCCGTCTCCCCTCGACGCTGCTACTGAGACGGCTGCCTGGCCTGAGCAGCAAAACACATTCCGTCTCCCCTCGACGCTGCTTTTGTGACGGCTGCCTGGCTTGAGCAGCAAAGCACATTCTGCCTTATTTCAAAACCAAGCTCATTTCGCCAAGATGACAGTTATGGTGCCCCAATTGACGACTTTCACACAAATAACCTTTGTGGTCCCCCTCCCCCCCCCCCCCCCCCCCGGCCGCCACACAAAGCAATCAGGACGGAACCACATCCAGAATGGCGAGACAATCTGGAGGCGATCTCACTGTCTTCCCAGATCACGCCACGCCGTCGGGATCGCACAGCACCACGGAGTGATTATGGCGGCGATATCTGAACCGGACGAGCTTCAAGATACAGATCAGAGTCGACGGAGCAGGACAGATGGGCACACAGGCAACCGCCACTCATCTCCCGAAACGTAGTTGCACTGGCCTTATGGCATCACATGTCGCAACCGAACCAAAAATGAAACAAACGGGCGATTCGTGCCACCCATACCATGCAAGAGGGTTTACAGGCCAATAGGATAGCTATTTAGCGTCGTCTTCAAGCTAAACTTATACTGTGTTTTGCCCCCCGATTTTCACCCATGACAATGCTTGGATGAGTAGCTATGACCAAGAGAGTTGGGAGTTTATTTAGCGAACCAAGAGAACTGGTTCAATGCTATGATGATGCAAGCATTGGCTATCTCAACAAGGCCCCACATTTTAAGCTGTGCTATCATGAGCAATCAGGGTAACAGTGAATCAGTCTTTGTGACAGGGATATGTCCATGACACATCATGAACATGTATGACTCACACATCACTCGTGACCATGAGCACAGCTTGTAATGTCAGGTTTTGTCAATGTAACCATTGCTTAGTTCACAATTCTGTTTTGCTGGTGACCACTGGTGCACTGAAGGCTGAATATCATCAGAATAAGAACTTCCAACTTTTTACATAAAAAATGCACAAGTCTAACAATTTTCTTTTCATATAAAGGTGGCCATGGGCTCCCAGCATGACTAATAACCAGCATACGATGGATGTACCATAAGGAAACACTCCTAGCAGCCCCCCTTAGTTTGACAGAAAAAAGAAGATTTGGCTGTCCAATGTTTGCTTTTTAAAGATAAAATGAAGGAGAGACCCTTTGTGTCACACAATGCTATGCCATGGCTGCCCTTGCACCAGGTGTATTCTCTCCAGCTAGAGCCAGCTGACCAACATTGTCCACACAGGACTAATGGTCAAACAGGCATCACTATATAGGCCATACACTCAGCCTCAGATGACAAAATTTCCTCCAATGGAGCAGGTAAACTAACCCAAAAAGTGAGCCTTCATTCTTCCCTTAATATCATGTGAGATGTATCGCAATGTTCCACCCTCCATGCATTCAAGGCTGAGACCCCCTCCCCCCCCCTCCGAAGCATTCAACATTGAGATTAGACTGTTTGTATATATAAACTGTGAAGAGTTCCAATGGTCTCTTTATAAGCCTGTTCAAATGCTTTTGGTATAAATTGAGCAAAACAAGGTTTTCATGACTCTTTTGCCCTTGTTCAAGAGAACAAGACATGAAAACTTATGAAAAACTCAGTCCATGAATCTCATAAGTGTCCAATGAGCCTACAGTTTATAAACAGCCCCTCTGCTGCTGTGCCAGACATTGGATCTACAGTACCAGACCATATGCCCCTGCACCCATGTGTGACCTTCCATCAACACTGGTATCACTACATCATACATCTGGACCAAACCAGATGCTCCTGTGCCCATGTGCAATCTTCCATCACAACACTGGTATCAGTACATCATACATTTGAATAATGTCTGGAGTTGATACCAATTTTTAGGGAATATGCTCAGATGTTTACCTAGAACCATGAGGATCTTGTTTATTTTGCACATAGTCACAGACACACATGCCAGATTGATGAGAAACAGTCTCCTTCTTCATTGGGTATTTTAGTTATTGGTTACATTGGATGGCTGTAGGTATTCTGATTGTGTAGACATCAACACATGTCATATCTTATACTGGGTTAGGCTTTCTTGCAGTCATGATATGGGCCTTTTACTATACCTGGACCCTCAGCCACATAAACTCCTTGAACCATTTTTCTTCCTGTTATTCACTAAACATGCCTTATCTACCCTACACAGTGCAATCCTTCCTGGCAATATCCCCCCTAACTTTAACTAACCTTACCTTCCCGCCCTATCTGCTTTCAACCCAGCATTCCATTGGCATCCAAGATCATATTCCATGTTATACTTCTACCATAATAAGCCATCATGTTTGCCCGCCATGTTGACCAACCTGCGAACAGTATGGAAAAACTCCACCTTGAAAAAACAAACCCAAAAATCTACCCTTGATCCACTGGGAGAGCCCTGAAATGTCAGTATCACACCAACAGTTTGATGGAGCGGTTTGCTGGTGTCCACTGTTGTTATCATAATTATTACATTTTCAAGGTGTGCTGATGAAATCTACACAAGATGTTCTTCTTTCATGGCTATTCATGGTGTCTAATGTCCTACACATGTCAGTTGGTGAACAATTCACCAATTCAGCATTAGGTACCAATGTAAAGAATGACCCAGACCAGTTTTCACAACAGAGCCTTGCTAGATGATTAGCCTTAAAACTACTCAGCAAACTGCATGGCAATCAAGATGACCTGTATTTCAGATAAAGAATATAAACAAAGTCTCATGCACACCTTCAACTTGAAGATGCAATTCTTCTCTCAGTGAGGAGATATAAAATATATGCTGATAGAAATGGTGTAAAGAAATCTCCCTGCGCAATTTCCAGACCAGGAATGTTGAAAATTGCAATACAAGGTCATGTCAAAAACAGCTTCTACAAGTAATTTAACTCATGAGAAGCTTTGTACCTGATCCTATATTGTGCACCTTACTAACACTTGAGTGCAGGTATCTGGCTACCCACAAATAAAACTAAAAAATCAAATCAATGTGTACAACCTGCTGGCAGCACCAGATAATCATTTGAGTGATTTATAATGCTAGAGATTAAAATATTTCTAGATGAGACCAGTCAAACATACCACCCACGTCAAAAGGTACAAGGAGAGCAGTAATTTACCATATCTTACCTTAAAGTTAGCCATGCTCGATCAGCCTGAATCACCTTCTTAATTCAGGTACCCTTGAGCAAACGTCAATCACATGAATACCATGGAATTCCGGACACCGAGTCAGTCCTGCATGTCCTACGAACAAGACGGTACACAAGGCCCTTGGCGATACCTACGACTACCCACACCGCCCACACGTCCGCGGCCGTTCTGCGACACTACCGATCCAAGCGCCAACCACACGCAAAGGGAACCAAAACCGCACAGACTTGCCCCGCTGCCTTCGCATGTCCGCCAATTCTATACAAAACTACAGACTGGCGCAAATGTGCAAAGGTGGCGCAGATGCCACCTGAGGTGGGCAGGGTCTAAAAGTCGGCATATGAAGCAGACACGCTCATTCTCGGAAATGGCTGGTTTGATCGCCATGAAACCTTCACCAATTGATTTCCTGTCATGAGATGAGTTATGAGGTGGCAATATTGGGACCTGATCTGAAGTCAAACACCTCAAAAACGTGAAGGGAAGATTTTACACGCAAAAGCGGACGACTCGCATTTCAGAACCTACTGCAGTGCTTGCTGTGAAATATTTACCATTGGGTGGACCATACCTCATTTCCTCTTGCAGTTGTCAATTTAGTGATCGTAGTCCAGGTCAAAAGTCATCTAATTTCACAATTTCCCAAATTCTTGACTGCAGACAACTCAGTTCGCAGAATATACCGAACCGACCGCTGCCAAACCTTCACCATTGGATGCGCCATACTTGATTCGCTGTTTAAGCTGCGGGTTAGGTGCCATTTACATTCATGCCATTTCCGTCTCAATTTAATCCCAAGAAAACGTGCGGCCTGGTTGGACTGGTCTTATTAGGTTAGTGATGTCATCTGTTATTTTAATTTCTCCTTAGTGGCGGTCCTGAAAATCGCGTACGGAATTGTGCATGGTGTCGCCGCGGTCAACACGCGCTCGGGTGGGGGTCAAATTGACCCCCCGAAGGTCTTTCCAAAATGGTTTCCGAACGGCACGGCGTAGCCACGCCAAATTTTGCATAGCTGTAGACAATTGAACAGCGGATCGTTTGACATCAAAAATTTAGACGTAGCTTGTAAGGTCGCTGAGCTATGACAGGTCAAAGTCAGGCCATGGTTTCAGTGAAGGCAATTTCTAGGGAATCGTCCAATCTGATGCAGTAGCGGAGTGTTTGACAAAGTCATGCATCCCTGAAATGCTTTTTTAGACACCACGAATATTGAAGAAGCAAATGGCATTGATCTAAGATCAGGTATAAAAGTCAGACCAAGGTCACAACCAACCTGATTTATTACTCTAGGGCTTGCTGTATGGGATAGTTTGGGGTGTTCATTTCGAATTTATTGACAATAGGAACTGCATTATACATCTTCCATTGACTTAATGGTCAGAAAAAGTCATTGACCTTTGATGACCCGGGTCGACACTTCGTTTTAGGAACATACTGCCTAGCGTAGTCTTTGTCGCTTATTCAAATGCAAAACTCAGAGCAGTCTCGTATGATTTTGGTCACCATGACCATGAAAAGGTCAAACATGGTCACTGATCTCAAATGAGCTTTTGACCTTTTGCTTAGAAACAGTTGCCTAGGTTTTCGGGGCTCTTTGGAGACCAACCTGTAATTTGGCCTTGTTTGATCTCATTTGACCTGAAGGTCATGACCTAGGAAGCTCAAAATTTGACCTAGGTGAGTTCACGTACAGGTCAAGACACCCTGTAAACTTGGTGCTTCTAGCTTTCTTAGTTCCTGAGATCTCAGAGGAGTCAAATTGCCCCCCCCCCCACCCGAGCAAAGGGTACCTAGCCGGCCATCCGGACGCGTGTTAAAAGAACCGTGGTCTCTCTCCACTTTTGATTTAGCCGGTTAAACTAAATATTTTGCGCCGGATTCCACGCAACCGGCTTAACGCCCCCACCTCTAGGCAGTTTCGGAGTATGGCCTGGGGAAAAAGAGGCTTTGCTTTGGCTCACAAAAAAAAACTGTGGCCATGGTCAACATGATGATGCGTGGCTGGTCAATGTTTGTGGTGAGCAAAGACAGATCTATCCGCCGTGATTACATGCATGCCTCCTCAGCATCCTTTTGTTGGCTGTTGGCTCCAAGTCGGCTAGAAGTCTGCCGAACCAAACCTGGGCAACGGCTGTGACGAATGCTGTATATTTGAGGTGCCCCGCTATGAGAGCAAGCTCGATGGGCCTGACTGAAATCGATCGGTTCGGTCAGCGCCTTGCTGTGACATATCTATGACTTCAGAATCCTTCTTGGAGATATGCCTTCTGCACTCTGTGTATGGCTTGTCACCGAGGTACAAGTCCCAGATGGAAACAGTGGCAAAATTGACGGGAAAGACGTCACTGCTTTGGTCAGCAGGAACCGTGAGCTTCACCGTGCATGTTGTGCGCAGCCACGTCAATACGTGATTCGACGCGATTACGACTGTCTCAAATGTCTTGAACTGAAAAAAATGTCTCATGGAGTATGCTTTGCGTGTCTTTGCTCGCCAAAAGTCAGGAAGACGCCCTTACATTTGCGCTCAAAATGTATCGAAATGGTATTGCTGCGATGTGCACGACCGCGAATGATAAAAAATGTAAATGCCCGCTCGCATGGGCACTACAAAAAACAGCACATAGATTTATGTCATGTATCGCAAATGCTAGGCATGTCCCATCGAATGATGATGTCTGAAAACGAGGGGAGCATTAAGCTCTGAATAAATTGTATGCACGTAGGAATTTTGGAACTTGCGAAATTCGATGACTTTTGACCTGACCTAGGGTCACCAAGTTTTCAACTACAAGAGGAAATTAGGTATGGCGCACCCAATGGTATAGGTTGAAAAGCGACTGGTGCAGTAGGTTCTCAAATCTGAGTTGTCTGCTTTTGCATGAAAAAATTCCCCTTCGTGTTTTTCAGGTGTTTGACCTCGGGTCAGGTCTCGTTGCTGCCACCCCATGACTCACCTCGTTGCACGGAATCGATTGGACAAGGCTTCAAGGCGATCTGACCAGCCTTTTTGGAGAGCGAGTATGTTTTTTTCGGAGAGCTTGCTTTTTCGGAGAGCTCTGCTTCACATGCCGGTTGTTTAGACTCTGCATCTGAGGTGGATAATATGCTTCGCTGCAGATAATGCAGCATCTACTTAAGTCAAAAAATGCTCATTCAACCCTCAAAAAAATTATCTTATTTAACTCAGATTGAATATTGTATTATATCCCTTTCAGACAATACGGACAACGTTATTCAGCTAGGAAATCGAACTGTATCTTTTACCTCAGCGGGACTGAGGGGGTTGTCCGCCATTATGTAGTTGACCATTCGATCGGATAGCGCACTTTAACGCGACTTTTTGGTTCCAGAATAAATTGCCGACTGGCGACTAACAGAATGCGTTTTCGCCGAATGTGAAAACTCACACGTTTTGATCGACATATATTTTAGCCGTTTTGATTGGATTTATGGGATCCCAATGCTGAGCTCCCGTTTGTTGGTGGTGTGTGCCAGTATTGCTAGGGCGTGGAGGAACAATGGACATACGTGTAAAAATGGAAGAGGATGAGGTCTGGAAATTTACCAAACATGCATGACCTTATCTATGAACAGTTTCTGGAAACTTCTACCAATGCTTAAACGGAAGTAGATGGAAGGGAGCACTCCCCATGTGGACTTAAATCGAGAGAGCTACAGCGTTTAAAAAGGCCCCTAATGAGAAAGCGACACCGTTTAAAAAGACCTCTAATTGGGACAACGACACTGTTCAATAAGCAGTGGACAGCCGTGGACGTAAGCCATACAGCCTTGTCCATTTAGACACCCTCAGGTCAATTAGTGACAGGAGCGCATCAAAACCTTTGGCGAGTGTGGCGGGCAGAGGGCTGACAAAGGGCCGCCTGCTTGTGAAAGCTCCCCCCTCCCCCCCCATACACACAAAGTACTGGACATGACCCGCTTTTTTAAGGGCGCAGGCGTAGGCGGCGTTTCAAAAATGGGGAACCAGGTTTAGTAAGATGATATCCAAGCCCTGCTCCTTACATTCTCAAATTTTGAACTCGTTTTGTTGTCCACCTCCGTAGATGTAGGCTGCACTCAATGCTACCGTGCTATAGTGATTCCAACGTGTCTGGTGAATCCAACATTCGACTCACAGTACCGCCGGAGCGTCACCAGAGTTTGGATGTCCTTGGGTTCAGCTCCGGCAGTCTGATCCAACACAGCGACCTCCTTTGGCGCCAAAACTGGTATGGTTCTAGCTTCGACACGATTACCATAACGGCGCGTTGTGGCAGACGTCGCTGTCAAGGGGGTTGTGGAAATAATGGCGCACAGTTGGAGGACATGAAACAAAGCAGATGTCATGGGATGAGATGGAAATGCGTGGTATTTCCCATTGGGCGGCATCGTTTGCTACTGACCTCTTTTATGCTCCACACAAGCCAGCACACTGGTGTCAAGCCAGGCGGGGGGGGGGGGGGGCAAGGAAAGACGCGTGCTCCCCAAGATGTTTGATTTTTCACGGTAAGGCAATGGGAATCCAGTCGAAAAACTTCTCAAAATTCCTTTCGTTTTCAAAACTGACGCTCTCCAATCAGACGTCTGGGGTGGCGACGTCCTCGAACCAGTATGTTCGTGCACATATATGGGTAAACCACATCAATCAAATTGTGGCGCTCAGCGGCTCTACCAACTAGATTGCTAACAAGATAGTCTGGACCAGAAGCTAGTGCGCACACAGAGCAAACACGGTACACAAAACTAGGTATATGGCGCCTGCTTACTTCAAGCGCAGAGACAAATGTCAAAAAAGTCGTGGCTGTCTCCCACAAAAACATAGTTCGCTTGGTTTATCTCCTGGACATGGCAATGGCGCAACAAGAAAAAGGAAGCGGGGTCTGAGATGTGCAGCTACCAATTGTATATTCGACTACGTTTTACGTACCAACACCTCGTGAGAGTTTCAGGTGTAGGGATGCAGACGAGGGGCGCAGGGATGCAGGTGAGAACCTGGTGACCATGTTCATTGAAACGGGGTTAACAACTTGCATTAACAAGGCTAACCAATGTTCGTCTGGAAATTTTCAGCCGTCATTAAGAACCAATTCTTGAGAGAAATCATGTGCCATGGTTTTTAACACGCGCGCTCGCAAATCTTGGAAACAAGAACTCCGACGTCCAAAGCTGCGGTCTCCGTTGGCCGCGTGGCGTTAGGACCATGACTAACACAAAGCGGTGGTCAGTGGACGACAGAAAATGACGT